ATCAAGTTTATTTTATTTATTTGAAAGATAAGAGTTACAGTGAAAGGTAGAGACACAGAGAGAGTGAGAGAGGTCTTCTATCCTCTGGTTCACCCCCCCCCCCAAATGGCCATAACGGTAGGAGCTGGGCCAATCTGAAGCCTGGAGCCAGGAGCTTCTTTTGGGTCTCCCACGTAGGTACAGGGGACCAAGGACTTGAACCATCTTCTGTTGCTTTCCCAGGCGCACTAGCAGAGAGCTGGATTGGAAGTGGATCGTCTGGGACTCCAACCAGCCCCCACATGAGATGCCGGCACTGCAGGCCGGGCCCTTTACCCGCTGCACCACAGCGCCAGCCCTCACAAGATGCCTTTTTAACAATGGTGCCAGTTTGCAGATTGTCTAGCAGCAATCCGTAGGTCTCTGGCTTTAGTTACATTTGCCTGGAAGACATAGATGAAGATCAGCAAAGCAGGCCGATCAGATAAGCAGATGATGCAGGAACAGCTAATGCTCCAGGTTACAGAATTGAGATTCAAAACAATGCAGGCGAGCAGGCCGAATCAATCCAGGGAGATTTCAGAAAGATAAAATACCGAAAGTATCATTCACAAACGTAGGAGAGACTCGGCATGAAAAATCTCCTGTGTGAAAAAGATTTAGGAGTTGGCGTTAAGGACAAGCCTTATTTAGATGGTGTGAGGGTCATTTCGTCAAGAAGCTCATGTGACCACTGACTGTGTGTTGTCTAGATCAAAGGGAACAGCAGCTCCATTGTCCACCGAACATCTGCCACTTTACACTTGTTTCTGGGGGCGAGAATCAAAACGAATATTGAATCCAAAAGGAGGGAAGAGCAGGGCATTGGAACTTCCCTTCATGGAACAGTCGAGATGGCTGAGGTCATTTAGCTTGGAGAGCCAGAGACTGCTCCACGTGGCCCCACGAAGTAGAACCGCAGTATGCTAGCCGCCCTTCCACACACACACACACACACACACACACACACAAGCTGCCAAGGATCCCCACCGCCAATCTACCAAGAATGTAAAACTTGGTAAGTAACAGGATGATTCTCAGAGCTCCCCCTGGGATGCTAACTCCCAAGAGGGAAAGCAGCAGTTGCTAAGGCTTCCGCATCTCAGCAGCAAGATTGAGACGAGAGAGCGGGGTCCACGCAGCCCAGGGCATTCACTGTGCAGAACGGCAGGCCGGAGACACGCCACGTGGACCCACCACGCCAAGGTGCAGGACCGACCAACCCTGCGCATCACCACAGCGCGCAGGACGCTGGACTTCCCCCACGCTGTTAGGAGCGCACACTTCTCAGTGGGGACTGCGCCATCTCCCTCTGTCATTTCTTTCCGTGGTGGGAGTTGTCCCTTTCTGTGTGAGGACACATCTCCAAGGCTAAGAAGCACGCTTTAGGAAGGATACCAGAGTCTATTAAAACAAGGAGGTGAGGACAGGAGAAGAAAAATATTTCCTTCATCCCAAGCATCAGTCTCTTCTTATGGTCTTGTCATCAGTCTCGTGTTCATTTTCATAATGGACTTTCCAAACGTGCCTTTGCCGTGACACCTCAGGGGCAGTGTGGTTGATTAAAATGAAACCAAAAGATGTGATCACAGCAGAGTGAGGCTCACAAAGAAGGGGCTCCCTGGATCTTGGTTGAAGGGGTTTGCACTGGCTTGGATTGAATTGAGCAGATTTAAATTGAAATGCTCAGGGCGAGGCATTTAATAACCCTTCGTCTAATTGAACTGTGCTGCCAAGATAAATCATGATAAATCTATATCCTGGAACACCATACCTCCTTCAGGAGTGATCATCTCCCGGGTCTCAAGGCAGCCAGAGGGAAACCAGTCAGGCTCCTCCGCGTGCTAACAGGGAACCGTCCTCAGGATTTCTCACTCTGTCAGGAATCAACAGTAAGGAGCAGCACACAGGCTTGGACATGTGCCTCCCTGGCATGTTATTCAAAACGTATACAGGAAAGGCACACACCTCGATCCAGGCAGGCAGCTGTCTGTATCCACAGGTCTCTCTTCTGCAGATTCACACAGGCTGGGATAGAAAATGCTTTTGAAGAGTAGCATCTGCACTGAACATGCACACATTTTATTTTTCTGGTCATGATTTGCTAAACAGCTCGGTATAACAGCAATTTATATAGCATCTACATTGCACTAAATATTACAGGTGATCGATCTAGAGGTGATGTGAAGGAAGCAGGAGGTGCAAAGACTCTGCCAGTTTATATAAGGGACTTGAGCAACAGGGGAAGTTGCTATCTGTCTATACTCGTATGTGAATATTTTTAGAGCGCATCCGTGCTTTATTGATTCAAATGTATCCGAGCGTACCAGACAGAGGGTTGAATACGTAGACTTTATTCTTTGCTCACCCAGCTGGGTAGTGTGTGGGTCCCCAGCACTGTCAGAATTCACGACTACGAATGGGGTGACTTTGATGAACAGCAATGTCTTCTCACACAGGAGGTCAGAAATCTGCTCTTTCACTCCCATGGCCACGTGGCCTGCCCTCTGTCTGTGTCTCTGTGTCTGCACATGGCCTTTTTATTATGACACTAACTGTTGGGTATACAGCCCCCAACTTCACCTTGCCTAATTCTATCTGAAAATACGCTACTTCCAAGTAAGTTCATATTTTGAGGCTCAAGGTGGATCCATATTGGAAAGCAAGGCTTGCACTCTTGAACCTGGCACAGACAGAATGCGTCAGCCTTTCAGTTGAGGGAAATACTGCCCTTTATCTTAACAGGTATAGTTGTGTGTTAGTCAACTCACACGTGGATTTTTATAGAAATGTTCTGTTAGCATTTAAAGGCATTTTGGGGGTGTCGGTCTCACTCCGTATCAGAATGCCTGAGTTCAAGTCCCAACACACATTAGCGGGGAGCTGAACTGGAAGCAGAGCAACTGAGACACGAACAAGCACCCGTATGGGATGCCAGAGGCGCAGACGGTCATTAACCTGCTACACCACAACATCAGCCCCTACCATTTTTTTTTGACAAATGTATACACCATTGTGTACACTAAGTGTGGATCAATCAGAAGATTGGACATTTTCATTCCTTAGGAATTTCTTCAAGCCTCTTTCCAGTCAATTCTACTCCACAGCATCCTCTGTCTACTTCCTATCCCTGTGGGTTAGTTTTCATGTTCTTCAGGTCCACATAAGTGGACCCAGACTGTATGTCCGGGTTTGTACCTGGCTCTGTTAGCTCGTACTCAAGTGTTTTAGTGTATATAAGTAGCCCACTTCTTTTCATTGCTGAGTGGTATCCTACTGTGTGACTGTACCATAACCCATTCCTCAGTTAACCCAATGCTGGGCATTTGGACTGTTTCCATGTCTAAGCTATTTTGAAAAAGAATCTGTCAAAAACATTCCCATGCAGGTATTTTGGGAGCATATGTCTTCATTTCCCAGGAGTCTTGGGGCAGCAGATCAGTTTATGCTTCACTTTATAAGGAACTGCCGAGGCTGTTCGATGGTGGCACCATCTTCACTCCCGAGCAGTGTGAGAGAGGACCAGTTGTCCACAATCTCACCAACACTGAGGCTGTCACTCTCTCGTCTGAGCCATTCTTGCAGGTGGAATTGAATTTGCGTTTTATTCATGAGTGGAGATGCTGAGCACCTTTCTATGTGTGTGCTGGCCATTCACATATATTCTGTTTAAACTGCCTGTGCGTGCCTTTCGCCAGAACTGGATTGAATTGTTGTTGAACTCATTGAACACTGGAGTTCTTTTATGTTCTGGAGACAAGTCCTTTGTCAGATATATGTACTGCAACATTTCTCTCCCATTCTGTGCCTTGCCCATTCACTCTCCAAGTAGCGTCTGGTAATGGGCACTTTTGAATTTTGATGAAGTCCAATTGGCAACCTCTTGTTTACAATCGTAGTTTCTGTGTCCTTTCTAGAAAAATTTCCTACTCCAAGACCAGGAAGATGATTGCTAGTGTTTCCTTCTACCTTAGAAGCTTGGTGAGCTCAGCTATTACAGTTTGAGATTCATGATACAAATTAATGAGCGTGTATGATGTTAGGTGCGATTCGGGTTCCATTCTTCTTCCATTCAGGCACGCAATCAGCCTGATACAACTGCTGGGAAAAACTTCCCTCTCCCCACTCATTTGCTCTGGCACCTTTGTCAAAATCAATTAACTACCTGACTTTCAGTCATTTCTGAACACTTGATTCTATTTCAAAGACATATTTAACTATTGTTATGCTGATACTGAATTCTTTTGGTTAATTTCGCTTGATAGTAAGTCTTAGAGTCAGGTGGTGGGAATTCTCCAAATTTATTTTCCTGGGGCCGGCACTGTGGCTCAACAGGTTAACACCATGGCCTGAAGCGCCGGCATCCCATATGGGTGCCGGTTCTAGTCCCAGCTGCTCCTCTTCTGATCCAGCTCTCTGCTATGGCCTGGGATAGCAGTGAGGATGGCCTGGGTCCTTGGGCCCCTGCACCCACATGGGAGACCCGGAAGAAGCTCCTGGCTCCTGGCTTCAGGTGGGCGCAGCTCCAGCCATTGCAGCCATCTGGGGAGAGAACCAGTGGATGGAAGAGCTCTCTCTGTCTCTACCTCTCTCTCTGTAACTCTGTTTTTCAAATAAAGTAAATCTTTTAAAAAAAAATTTATTTTCCTTTTTCAAGATTATTTTGCAGTTTACTTCTGGGATTTCCATGCAGTACAGAACAATCTGCTGGCACTTTGGGAAGTTATTGAATCTGTAAGTCAGTGTGGGGAGCACTGGAATTTCAGCCACATCATGACTTGCAGTCCATTAACACAGCACAGCTCTCTCGGTGTTTAGGACTTCCTTAGTCTCTCTCGGAAATGGTTCTATAATTTTGGTGTAGCTCTCTTGCATATATTTTGTTAAGTTTATCCTTAAGAGTATTTTGCTCAGAAATTAGGGAAAATGGAACACAGCAACTTTCGCTTCGCTTATTTATTTTCCAGAATTGCAAGCCCTCCCCTCTGGCAGTCCCTCGGATTTGCCTGCGTTGGAGTTGAGCTGGTGCTGAGCTGTGCCGATCTTTAGATTTCATTGACCTGTCATTTGCTCTCGCCCAGTTTCGTCTTTTCTCTGTTACTTCTGAATTCACCTCCTACAGGATCCCAGAATCTAGTAAAATGTTGGAAACAAGCTGATTTTTCTCTACCAATCCCTCCCCCGGTGGGTTTCCCAGCAAAATTCAGAAAAAGAGGTGCCTTACTGGGAATTGAGGTTTTTTAAATACACTTGGTGTGTGTGTTATTTTTTAATTTTTGTTAGTTTATTGGAAAGGCAGAGTGAGAAAGAGAGAGATCTTCTATCCACTGGTTCACATCCCAAATGCATGTAGCAGCCAGGACTGACTGAGCTAGGTCAAAGCCAGTCAAATAGGGGCGTTGGGTGCTTCCTCCTCCTCCTCTTCCTCCTCCTCCCGCTCCCTCTGAGACAGAGGAGACCTTACTGTGTAACAAGGCAGAGGGGACAACCAAATGTCCAAGAAAAGAGCTGAGTCGGCTCCACAAAGGCTGCGGCCAGCTTGTTTTCTGTTCCAGGATGGTGCCCCCAAGACGGGGGTGGTGACAGACATCAAGAAAATGGGTGTAAAACAGAAACACCAGGCACCGCCTGTCCCAAGAACGTGCTGATTCTCACCAGGGGTGGGGGAGACTGAGGCCACAGCCCGTCTAAAGCAGCACCCGCCGCCACTCTCATGCTCCCGGGGAAAGATGGGTGAGGGGCACAGCCATGGCAAGAACCCGCCCCACGACACCGTGGGATTTCCCTGTCCCTGATGGTCCTGGGAGAAGACAGCCGTCCAGCTGCACCTGAAAGCCCCCTGCTGCCCAGGCCCAGCCAGGGCCACATCGACCACCGGATTCTGTGTTCCTATAAACGATGCATTTTCCAACTTAGCAAAGTCTGACATCAAGCTTCCCATAAGGGAAGAGCGCTTTAATCAGCCCAGGGCCCAGCAGCACAGCTCTAACGCTGGCAAGGAGGCCTGGTGAGCAAGCAGCCTGAGTCTTCGATACCACAGGACAATGGCACTGGGATCTGCATCCACTGGGGGAAGAACCGGGACCAGTGGGGGTGGAGGGACACAGGCGCTGAGAGCCTCATGTACAGAAGGCCGTGGTTATGAGTTCCTTGTTTCCTCTTGAAATCTTTAATTCATTTACCTTATTAATTTAAAAGGCAAAGAGAGAGCGAGAGACAGAGACAGAGACAGACAGCCAAAGGGAGATCTCTCATCCACTGATTCACTCCCCAGATGCACTCATGGTTGGTCCTGGGCTGGGCTGGGCCAAAGCCAGGAAACAGGAATTCAATCCTGGTCCCTTAGGTGGGTGGTAGGGCCCAGCTAGCTGAGCCATCACCACTACCTCCCTGTGTCTTGCATTAGAAGAAAACTGGAGTAGGGAGTGGAGCTGGAATGTGAACCCCCTACAATGGTGTGGGGTTCAGGCCTCCCGAGTGGAGTCTTAGCCGCCATGGGCCCTGTGCCCACCCCACTGATGAGTTCTTGGTCAGCCTGGGGAGAGTGTCTCAGGGGAGGCCCCTTCCTTCCTGTTCTTTCCTCACTGGATACAGGGCTTTAGCCTGGGGCCAGATGGTGCCACAGAGATGCCCACACCTGCAGCCTTCTTGGCTTTGCTCACGTGGGGAGGGTGCAGGCAGCTCCCTTCTTCACTCGGGAAGGAGACAACCTGAACAGACTTTGAGTTCCTGGAGGTGGAATTAGAAGATAAATTAATTTTGGCACAAAAAAGTTTTGAAATCCATGCATCTAAGAGGTCTTCAAAAAAATGCATGGAAAATGTTCACTCTGAAAGAAACTGTGTAGATTTCAATATTTTTTGCACCAAAATAACTTACCCCTTTTTTGTTTTGTTTTTAAAGATTTATTTAATTAATTTGAAAAAGCAGAGTTAGGGAGGGAGGGAAAGAGAGGGTCGGGGAGAGGGAGAAAGAGAATCTTCCATCTGCTTGTTCACTGCCCGAATGGCTGAGGCTGGGCCAGGTGGAAACCAGGAGTCAGGAATTCCATCCAGGTCTCCCACATGGGTGCAGGGGCCCAAGCACTTGGGTTATCTTTTGCTGCTTTCCCAGGCACATTAGCAGGGAATTGGATGGGAAGTGGATCAGCCAGGACTCGAACCTGCATTCAGATGGCACACTAAGGCAGTGGCCTAACCTGTTGTGCTACAATGCTGGCTCATAAACATATTTAAATTCCATTTTCCATGAACTTTCAAAGTCCCCTCATATAACTCTTGTTCCTCACAGCACCCTATGATAGAAGTTTCTTATCTTCATTTTCTTTATTTTTTTATTTTCATGCATTCTTTTTTTTTTTTTTTTTTTGACAGGCAGAGTGGACAGTGAGAGAGAGACAGAGAGAAAGGTCTTCCTTTGCCGTTGGTTCACCCTCCAATGGCCGCCGCGGCCAGCGCACTGCGCTTATCTGAAGCCAGGAGCCAAGTGCTTCTCCTGGTCTCCCATGGGGTGCAGGGCCCAAGCACCTGGGCCATCCTCCACTGCACTCCCTGGCCACAGCAGAGAGCTGGCCTGGAAGAGGGGCAACCGGGACAGAATCCAGCGCCCCGACCGGGACTAGAACCCGGTGTGCCGGCGCCGCAAGGTGGAGGATTAGCCTAGTGAGCTGCGGCGCCGGCCTATTTTTTTATTTTCATCCACTTAAGAGGCAGAGCACCAGAGACAGACAGACATAACCAGACCTTCAATGCACTGATTCACTCTCCAATTGCCTGCAATAGCCAGGACTTAGTCAAGCTGAAGCTAGGAAACCACAACTCAATCTGGGTCTCCCATGGGTGACAGGGACCCATGTACTTGGGCCATCATCTGCTGCTTCTCAGGTCCATTAGCAAGAAATCAGAGCAGAATTAGAGGAGCCGGGGCTCCAAGAAGCACTGTCCTATGGGAAGTGGGCATCCCAAATGGTGGCGTGAGCCCTTCACAATGCCTGGCCCTATTATCTCCACCTTACAGGTGAGAAAGCCGGCGCTCCAAGAGATGAAATGAAGTCAGTTGCTCACTTAGCAGTGGCAGAGCTGCAGTTCCAAGCTCCCATCATTAAGGCTGATCCACAGAGCCTCGGTATGTGAGGAGGGGAGGCAGAAGCTGTCCTCAGAGTTACCCTAAGTGGGGAGAACACATGCACACGCACACACACGCATGCACACACATGCACACACACGCATGCACACATGCTCATTCATACACACAAAATAGTTAAAGCCCAACCTAAAGGAGCAGGGATTAAGGTGTGGACCTGAGTGGCCTTCTAGGAGTAAGCACATGGCTGGAGCAGGGCAGGGGCTTCCTGGAGGAGGTGAGCCTTGAGGGGCAGGAGGCCCGCTTCTTCTTCTTTTTTGTTTGTTTTGTTTTGTTTTTGTTTTAAAGATTTGTTTATTTGAAATTCAGAGTTACACAGAGAGAGGAGAGGCAGAGAGAGAGAGGTCTTCCATCTGCTGGTTCACTCTCCAGATGGCTGCAATGGCTGGAGCTGTGCTGATCTGAAGCCAGGACTCAGGAGCTTCTTCCAGGTCTCCCATGTGGGTACAGGGGCCCAAGCACTTGGGCCATCTTCTACTGCTTTCCCAGGCCATAGCAGAGAGCTGGATCAGAAGTGGAGCAGCGCCCATATGGGATGCCGGTGCTGCAGGCAGAGGTTTAACCCACTACACCACAGCGCCAGCCCTCCTCCCCGGCTTTAACAATTTACTAAGCTCATTAACTAACCAATAAAGACAAACAGCGCCAGCGCTCCTCTCCACTGACATGGAGGTGTGGGATGCACCGACCACCACCCATAGCAAGTCAGGGGTTCTGCTCCTGGACACCAGTCTGGTGGGCCCACTCCTCTGTACCAGGCCTTTCTGGATTCAATACTGGGCTGCCAAAGTCAGCACTCACCTCCCTGAACCACCGCAGAAATACCTAGCTCTGAGCATTCCGTCCTCGCCCTGCCTGGCCAGGTGCCCCGGCCCCCAATTAGCCCACCATCTCACACTGGCCCAGCTCCTGCTTCCAGTCCCAGGACTGAAGGCAAAAGAGACAGGGGACTGAGCCCCAGAGATGATGGACGCAGCCACTCCCCTGGCTGCACTGCAGACCAAGCGTTCTTGGCCCTTCGCCCACGTGGTGCTGCAGCTGGGCCAAGCTGGGGGCCGCAGGCGGAAAGAATCAGCCGCCCTCAGGCAGGTGCTCCCCAGCACTCCAGAGCTGGCAGCCAGGACCCCCAGCACTGGGGGAGGGAGATGGAGGAATGCAAACGTGTCTTAGGGGATGGAAAAATTACGTGGTGAAATGTTCCTAAGCCTTTTCTACTTAACACTCATAAATTTCAGGGACTGTGAATGCTAACGGGTTTTTTTCCCCCTTTGACTTATGATCTTTATTCTCTCGTGGTCTTTAAGCCAAATGACAGAAGGTAGGAAGAATAAGAGGAGCCTTTTAAAAACGCAAGGGGTCTGTCCGTTTCTGTCCACCTCTGCTTCCACCGGGGCACGGGCAAAGGCTCTGGGCGCTGACAGCGAGCGGCAAATTGGCGCTGGACGCCTGCGCACCAAGCACCCTCTTCCTCGTCCTCCTCTTACTTCCTTCTTGTTCCCCTTGTGCCAGACCCCTGCCCGGGCAAGGCCCCTGAACGGCTGCCGGGGAGCCAAAATGAAGTCCACATGGGTGCACTGTGAGAGGCAGGCCTCACCCGACTGCCCCGCACAGACACCCCCAGGACCCCCGATTAAAAATCCGCGATGGGATCCATACAGCCGTCTTCCTCCGCTCAGGGCCCTCCGAGCTCCCAGCAAGCGCAGGGCACAAAGTCAGCCTTTCTCGTTGTGTTGTAGTGTTCTTGTCATATATGTCAGCTTATTATTGTCATATGTATTACCTGTGGGTGGAACCATCTGGAAGGTGAGGTAAGCACTCTCCTAAGCCTTCTGGAGAAATGCTTCATCATTTCCCTGCCGTTTGCCCTCAGGAGACCCCCCCCACCCCCAGCCCAGCCCAGCCCCAGGCGATCCACAGTGCTGGGGACACTGGACTGGGACTGGGACTGCCTGCCTGCCACACTCCTGCAAAATGACCCCACTGTTGCCATTGCTTTTAGGTCAAAATATGGTTCTCTTGTGGATTCACAAAATTGTAACGACCTCCCGCACTCCGGCGAGGGAGTCACCCTCTGCGGGTAAGGAGCACCGACCACATCGAGCGCCTGGTTCTGACTCCCAGCAGCCTCGGTGCTCGGCACTCGGAATTGAGTTCACTTTTGCACACCGCGCTCAGTCCCTCCCCAACCCTCCAACCCTCGCGCAGTGGGCGGAGCTTCAGCAGGAGCAGAGCATGAAGCGGCATCATGAGGACACACAGAATTTCATTACACGAAGAAGGCAGGGCAAAGAATTCCAGGGCACAGGAAGAGAACGTGAAAAACCACAGACGCCGGCGCCAGCCTTGTAGCACAGCGTCTAAGCTGCCACCTGATTCCCCAGCATCCCATATGAGCTCCCGCTGGAGCCCCACTTCTGATCCAGCTCCCTGCCAATGTGCCCGGGAGAGCAGCAGTTGATGGTCTAAGTCCTTGGGACCTGGCCTCAGCCTGGTCCAGCCCCGGCTGTTGAGACCATTGGAGGAGAGAGCCAGTGGATGTAATCTCTCCTCTCTCTCTCTCTCTCTCTCTCTCT